TTCTGGGGACTCTCAGCTTTGGGTTCCTTCTCAGTGCTGCCGGCTTTAGGGATGCTGCTGTAGCGGGTCTCCTCCGGGTGGGAGGGGGTTCTGGGGGGGTCCGGGGTGTAGCAGGAGTTTGGTTTGGAGCCTTCAGGAGAGCTGACCGGGTCCTGCTCCTTCTCACTGGAGCTGCCCCCGTTTTCACCCCCAGACACCTCATCAGGACCTTCCTCTGTGGGCTCTGCGAGACGAAGGAAGAGTCAGGGGACAAGTTTGGGCAGGAAACAGTAAAAACAAACAGTGCAAGAAAGGCATGCACGAATGTGTTGGGACAGTAAATGAAGTAGACACTAATCCGACTTGAGAAACATTTCTGTTGTGCACTCCTTATTATTATAAACCCCGCGTCCATTTAAAGCAGAGCCAATCCAGCGCTATCAGCTCTCCTCAAGAGGAAACGAAACATACAATTAATCGCTTGTCAGCTTGTCTCCAACTCAACGATTTATGTGGATTTGCTTTATTTCTCTCTGCTCCGAAGCTGTTAACACAAAGTGCTGACTGTGTTGTCAGTGAGGAATCTACCGTCGATGCCTTTTGACCACATTTTGTAAACAGATCGCTTGTTGCTCGGTAACATTTCATCCGGAGCTGACCTCCTGCAAGAAATATGGCGATTACATTCGATCGGGGCCTGTCGGCCGCTGATTACTGTAATCTTTTAAACCACTCAGCTCTGTTGGCCAGCTTCAACATGGAGCTGATGTGGAGTCAGGTGATCGGTGCTTGTGTCCAAATGTTTTAGTCTCACAAGCAACCAAGTGGAGTCAGTGAATCTAAAAGAACAGCCGAAATCTGCGAAAGATATTTAATAATTCACTCATTATCATGTGGGAGCAATATTGGGGATTAAAAGCTTAATGAACACTAATTTGCATTTGAAATCTAAAATAATAACAAATGTTTTAAGCCTCCGAATGACCGAATGTCTTTATATTTTCTAAATAAACGGATTTTTATAACCTAACTATACAGAGAGAAAGAATAAATGTCATTTTCAAATAGATGCTGACAAAAGTACTGCTCTTATTGTGTCTTCATTACTCCAATAATAACCAGGTGAAATATATAATTATTACAAATATTACCAGAACGAATAGATGCTCATTCCTATTAATAACTCACACATACAAATATAAATGAGGTTTGTTACATAAGATCCAAGTTCTCGAAATAAAAATTCCAAAAACAAACAATAGGCTTATTTATTTTAACTTCAGCACAAACACTTGATATTTTTGCTTTGTACTGTCTCACAAGTCGTGATTTTCTTTTGATAAAACAGCACATCGAGTTTTAAATTAGCCCAACAAGATTTTAATGATGTGTTTATTATGTTTACTTATTTCTAAGCCAGTCTGTTGAGCAGCTGTAACATGTGGATTTCTCGCCCGGTAATCAATACATAATATTTTCTTTATCTGATCTGGATTTAAAAAGAATATTGTCTGAATGAATCTTTATATTAGCCAATGTGCCATTCCTAAATAACGCAAGTTTAGTGGAAAATTTATTTTCCATCACTTTGTTCTTTACCGTAAATATCATCCAAAACTGTTTGTACAGGAGTCTCAGGATAAACATCTCAACCCCAGCTGTCTGTTTTTCATTTAGGCCTACTTATTTAGGAATGCACTGTTCCATATTTTTAATTAAAAGATCATCTGCCTTTGCAACTTTGTGCATGGAAACTTAACAATTCACGAAATAGATATTAGGCTATATTGATAAAGTAGTCTTGTGAGAACCTTTTCATTATATTATTGTTATAATTTATTAGTTTAAAATAATGTGTCATTACTTGTATTTTCTGCTAAAAACAACCTTATTTAATAATTTGTCATCATTTTTATTCCATCGAATAAAAGTAATCATTTATCAGAAATGTAAACATTTAAAGTCAGACTCGGTCCTTCACCTCCTCTCTGCATTATCTTCCTACCTGTGCATGTTTGTGCTCCGGCCTGCGCCGGCTCCGTGCTGCTCCACCTCAGCTCCAGCTCCTCTGTCCTCGACGGGGCTCCCTGGTTCCCCTCCCCGGCTCCGGCTATGCCAATGCCGGGCAGCACTCTGAGTGACTCCGGGATGAGGCTCTCCAGACTCTCGTTGGCCTGCTGCCTGCGGAGCGCCACCTGCGCCGCCATGACGCGCTGCCGCTCGATGATGAGGATGCATTTCTCGCAGGTGCAGTCCTTGAAGCGGCAGTAGCGCTTGTGACCTTTGAGCCACGACAGCACGCCGTGGTTCCGGCACCGCGCGCACTTGGGGGTCCTTTGGAGCGGGGCCCGGGGCTGAGACACCGGAGCCCCCATGTACAGGTAGGGGGACCCGTAGCCATTCATTCTGTCAGACGCAGCCTGTTTTTCAGGACGCACAAGTACATCTGAGGAGAGGCGAGGCGGGGCGGGAGTGTTGTTGTCCTAGAGATGGAGCTGGATGGAGCTGCTCTGCCACACGCATGACAGGATGAGGATAAGAGGTGTTGGCTTGTAGTGGAGGATCCACCTTTCCCTCGGCTGACAGCACAGATATGCATCAGGGCTGACACGCACTTATGGAGACGAGTAACCAAACGCTGTCACTCGCGTCAAGGCGCCTGCACGCTGCAAAAAAAATGTCCATGTGACGCTGAAGTGGGTGGGGAAAAAAAAAAAAACTTGCCAGTGAGGATCAGATAACCCCAACATGTTTCCCTGTAAAGTTCACACGTTTGTAGAGTTTCCTTTAAAAACAGGACAATGACTTCTGTCAAGATAGAAGACAAGAGAGCTTTGAAATGGAAACAAATGGCTCTCTGTATTTCCAGTGGTTTAGAGATTATAAGCCTTGATCCTGTAGCTGATAGGAAATGAGATTCTTCAAAGGCACAGTACAGCTTCATCATTATCTCCAGAAATGGTTCCAGAAGAGGCCAAAATGCAGGACAGGCCTGTAACATAATATTTTGGTCTCCATGAGTAGGCTATATTTATTTTAAGCCTAAAACATAAATGAAGTGCTACATATAAAGCTGTCAAAACTTTCCTTTAATGAAACATTTTATAGATTGGATTAGGAGTTCCTGCATGAAACAAGCTTCCATTAAAACATTTCAGAGGAGGCTAAAAGACTAAATTCGCACCTATTGGGAGATTTTCCAAACATGAAGCGAAAGAAAAACGGCTGCAATTGCAAATAAAATGAATGAAATAGAATAATCAGAAATATCCAAATAAAAGAGCCTGCAGTTTAAGTCCAAACCCAGATGTCAAGTGAATATCATCCCAGCTGTCAAAACTGAAACAAGACTGCAGGAGTCACTGCATGGAACAAATCAATTAAAAATGATGTAATTTAAATATTTGTAATGGTTAAAAACATAAGTTTAAAAGAAAAACTGCTGGAGCCTTTTCTATTGGCAGCAATTTGGAGATTTTTCAAATATAAGGCATATTTCTTATTTTAGATAACATGGGGAAAAACATTCATTTCAAACTGATAATAAACACCAAGTCCAAAGTCAACAATATAAAATTTGTCTTCTCAGCTGTCAACAATGAGACATATGCAGGAAAAAACCCCATCCATGCATGAAACAGACAACCAATTAAACATCTGTAGAACATTAAAAGACTAAATGCACCAGTCGGTTTGTGGATTTTTAAATTTTGAAAAAATTAACGTGGGAAGAAAATGTGTAAATATTTAGTCTAATGTTGATTTTGTGGAAATAACATGAGAACCTCGCATTCAAAGATCAGGTACAATTGAATATTAAAAGTCAGGACAAATGTGTGTTTTCCCCCTCCCTGTTGACTGCAGGCTCACAGCCTATAAGACCTAATTCGGACAAAACCCTCGCAGCTTCTCGCACCTTTTACACAATCGTACATAACTTAGATGATTAGGTCTCTACATGTATAAAAGCCCTTTGGGAACTATGTCGAGGATGCTGATATGTCCCTTCTGCTGGACTAATAGAGGGCATTGAAACATAACACCGGACAAAGCCGGGGCCCATTTCTGACCGTAAAAAAGGTTTATTCAAGCAAATAATGGGATCCGAGCCTGCGCGGCTTACAGAGAATAAGAGCACGGTAAACTTCCCCACATGAAGCCCGTCTCCAGGGCTATTAAGCTTTTAATTGGAAAATAGCAGAGGAAATTTCAAGGTGACTAGAGTGGCTTTGCAGTTTGTGCCGGCCGAGTAGATTTGTGGGAGTGGGAGGCGGTGGGTGAACGCCTACACCACAACGCATAATAAATTTATTCATGTTGTTCGTTGATAAAGAGTAAAACACAAACCGGAATAAAAGTTTATACTGCAGGCTGCACTGTAATTGGCATAAGGCCTGATTTCTTTTTTTCTCATGTTGATGCACTCCAGGTTGAAAGACTCGTGGAATATTTTAATGCTGAGATCATTTGTGCTTTTAATATGAAACGCAGAGTAATTGGAATTTATGACAAATACATGATCTTTATTATACAGTATGTAAGAAGGACAGTAGCTATACAATTATCATGTCTGAGGCCATAAAATGAAATCAGAGGTGAAGTTTATATAAATAAAATAAATACCTGAATAAAATATACCATTGATAAAAAATGAAAAAAACATAAAAATGTACTTCTGTGTTACACAGACCAACTATAAGTCTATAATAACCTACTACATGGGGAACTGTTGAGCTAGTGAGCTAAACGTTAGCTCCCTATGTAGCCTGTCTCCTGATTCTGTTTACTTGCACCGTTTTGTTCAACAAAAAAAAGTTATTGAAGAAGGGAAAAAATCTCTCTACCATCATCTCCAGCTCCATAACTGTCTGCAACCCACTGCTCGTGTGTGGGACGGTTTTTACTCTGACAGAAGAAGTTAAATAAAAGTGCAACACATGAGACTGTTCCTTCAAAGGTCAGCACTGTCAGGACAGCTTCAGGATACAGAAAACCACCTGGGTAATGTGTGTACATTTCATAGCAATCCATAAAATAATTAAGACATTTCACTCAAAAGCACAAAAGCCAACCAAAAAAAAGTCAGTGGATTGCCAAAGTAATCAGGATTCACCCTCTGAGGACCACGAATGTCTGCATAAAATTTGATCCAGTAGATCTTGAGACATTTTTGTGGTGGGCCAACAGATTAACATTGCCATCCTTACCATGCTGCTAACATGAACAAGTGTCTTACCTTTAATCATCTTTCAACCCCTCCCCTTTAGGCATCTCACCACCCAGGTAGAGAATCAGTGTCCTAGGTTATTATCTGGAGTCCAAAACCAACCGATGGAACAGTCAACTGTTAGTTAAACTTCATTCATTCAGGGATTGAGAGACTCAACATGCAGAGTTAAACATGATGTCTATATGCATAACTTGATCTTTACCATTGATTTGGTGATTAAATTCCCATTTAGGGACATCCTGCCATAAAAGAGGGTCATAATTGTAAATAGTGGTTACCAATCTGGGGTTCAGGACCCTCATAAAGGGTAATAAATGATTATTGTAACAGTAGTAAGTATAAAACAAAATCCTGCTTTTCAAAATCTGTTTTTCCCTTTATTTTATTATTAAATATTTCAGTTCAGTTGACTCTTCAGGCCTCTAAAATTATTAAGATGAAACAATATGGCTGTGTATTAAGCGGTTACAAGAAGAAAAAACACTATAGGCAACCTAAATATTACTAACATGTGATCAACAGACAATAATATAAGAATAATGCATTTTCATGCCCACTGATCTGATCAGAATTATACTGAATTAGTGGGTTTGATTCTCAGAACTCTTTAACTACAGTATTTCTTAATGTCAACAGTCAATTTTTTAAGCAAATGTAGACAAAAGATAAAACTAAAGCCTGAAACAGAGGGGAACTCAGAACTGTATTTATGCCCTGATTAACTTTCATTTGATTTCTTGTACATAAGATGATGTAAGACTTATATGATCTCTGAGGGGATATTCAAATGTTCCAGCAGCACAGAGACAGGCTGTGAGGCAACGAAACAGATTAAGAGGTCTTTGAATGAAATAAACCAAAAATGAAATAAGAGATTAAAGTAACTGAAGAAACCCTGAGACTATAGAATGATGCAAATATTTGTACAAAAGAAGTCTATATGAGTAGTTTTAAAGAAGTACAATAAACATATAATGAAGTATATAGTCTTATATACAGTATATGTCCAGCACAGTACACACACACACACACACACACACACACACACACACACACACACACACACACACACACACGTATAGTAATAATACAATAAGGCCTACTTTGTACTTTGTATAATGGAAATTGAAGAGAATACCATGAGATTGCACATGAAATAAAATAATGATTAAAGACTGTACATCTACATCAGTCCAGAAAGTCCTGAAATATGACGACAATAACAACAACAACAACAACAACAACAACTTGGAAGGTTGACATTTTTGGCTTTTAATGTAATATCAACAACTATTGGCTGAATTAGCACAGGCGTTGATTCAGACATCCGTGTCCCCTGCAGGATCCCTTAATATTTCTCTGTAGCATCTTCATCATCAGGTTAAAACTTCAATTTGGTTTATGACCAAATACCTACAAAACCTTCTAAAAACACCAGATTTCACCAGATTTGTTTTTCAGATTGTAAGGATTGTCATAATTTTTAATGACACAAGCTATCAGTTAGTACAATTACTTAACCTTTTCAATCACTTACTCATCTGGGACCTAATGTTTATATTAGCTGAGGAAACTCCTCCAGCAGGGCCCCTCCAGAGCTGGAGGAGTGGCTGACCTCTGCTGAGTGGGGTTATTATTAGGTGCTGATTGGGGGCGTTGCTGCCACTCAGAGGTCCTGTCACAGAAACGCTGATTTAAGTCTCCCTTGGGAGGCAGGACACTGAGCTTCTACAGAGGAATTAGCCGGACATCTGAATTAGTGAGACGTTTTTAGAAAGCACCGAACGTCAATGAGCAACCATCAGTCTCTAGGGAAAAAAGGAAAGTCTGTTCTTTTTAGGCTACTGCAGACATGTTTTACTTGGGAACTGATACAACACATTAAAAATAAGTTGAGGCAACCATGAGCACTAAATGTGCACTGATGAAATCAACCTTTATATTTCTGAGTCAATTTCACTTGACTTTATCCATTTCTCATATCTGAATATCAGATTTAAAAAATAAATTAAAAAATCTTGATTTATGCCTCTGAGCCACTTGTGGAGAGGAGTGAAGTCCTCTTCAGGCTGCTGTGCTGTTCTCAGATCAGGTGTAAAGACAAATGATGGGTAACGTCCTCAGATTAGTTGTAGATGCACAGCATCACAGCAGCCTGTTAAGTTGGTTTAGTCCGTCTAGTTCAGCCTGTTTATTGGTGCTTGGCTCTCAGGGCTGGACGTTTATGACCGGAGCTCTGCCTGTCCTTCAAACAGCACTGTGATCCTCCACCACTGGTCTGCAAACACAGAGACCGTCAACTCCATCCACTGGCCTGGTACACTGCATACACAGATGTCAGATTTTTATTTTTTCAAATATTGAATGGATGGTTTTTTTGTATCTACATAAGTGAAATGTGCATGCTGTCAATTCTTAGAACAGCAAGTATGACCATGAAAATGTTTGATTACCCAGAAATCCACCTACTCATGTATGCACCAATCCAGGAGGCCTATGACACTTTAATAAACCAAAAAGAAATGTCAGGGTTGAAATGAGGGGAGCAAAAGACAGAGGTGGAAGAAGTACTCAGATCTTTTACCTAAAAATTGCATAATCACAGTGTAGAAATACAAGTAAAAGTCAGCCATTCAAATTGTACGCAAGTACAGTACTTAGTTAATTTCCACCACTGGCAAAAGATCAGAGAAGTGCAGGTTTGAAATTCACAATTAGACTACTCACTGCATGTAGCCAGAAGGGTCCACAACATTGTACAAATTAGCATCTCAATGTGAAAAAGATGCTGTTTTCTGTTTATTCATTGGTGCTGTATGACCTTGAAAAGTTTTAATATTTTCTAGGGTTGCTGAAATATTTACTGCACTTGCATTCATTGTTATTTAAAGTTCTCCCGCAGACATGTACTAAGGTATATACACAGTAAGTCTGCTTGGAACAATAATGTGTCTGATAGGTTTTTTTGTTTGTTTTTTTTCCACACAAAAAAGTATAATTTCCACATTAAAATCATTAAAAATACAGAATCCATTAATATGCAAATGTTCATTTCTGAAGTTTTCCTGCTGGACACAAGATGTCTCCTGCTTCACTGTAAAGTCCATTCTCAGTGTGTGTGCACTGGTGGCTTCAGGTTTCTACATTACACTTGTACAAGCTGCAAATTTGCCTTCTTCCACCATCTACCACCATTGATATTTTGCTCAGGTTGAGGTTGATGTTTTCTCATGTGACCAAATGAATCATACCAATAAATAAAATATGTATATTGTCCCTCTCATGGTGCCTCAAAACTAACAGAAGATTGAGGAAGATGATAAATAAATCCAGTCTGTAAAAGCCCACAAGCAAAAAACGTGAAAACACCTGTGTGGGTGAAGCATGAGCACTAGCAGCAGAGTTTGTTTGCGTTCATGTTTTACTGCAGTTACCTTAATGTATGCATAATGTGATTCTCTTACATAATTAATCAGATGCTCCCCACTAAGTAGTGGAACACACACTTGGTGGTTCAGATTATTGGCAGTGATTAATTACATCTTATAGCTGAAACTGTATCAGCATTCAAATTAAACTGCACAGAATGAAGGTGTGGGTACTTTTATTCTTTTTTCAGATTAAAATGCCCCACCAGGTGATTAAGTGAATAAATTAATGTGTGTGGTCCTGAGATGTCTGACTGCTCTTTATGGTGAGACAGTTGATAGTCAGTCCCCTCTGAAAACTGTCCATATGACAATTCACTTTGCACCTTGCAGCACCTGGAGGCTATTTGCTCTATAGGTTGCACCGGATATTTGCTCTGTCGCGTGTCATTCAGTGGCTTAGAACATAATCAACAAAAAGATCTGATTTCACATATAGAGCTCTTTTACCTTACCTGTTTACCTTAAAGAAAGCAGCACCTAATTCAAGACATCATTTTGGTCATGATGTCAGAGGGTTTCTGTTGAACCTTTTCTATCCAGGAATATCAATAAAAATAAATTGAAGTCACCCTCCACTCAAAATCTGTTCTTGGTCCTACAGTGTGATGTTTGAGCTTCACTGTGCAGAATGTGTGTGCAGAGTTTGACACTAGAAAGAGGTTTTCACATTCATCTGCTTAAAGTGGAAACTGTCTCTGTGCTCAAAGAAAATCTGATTTTAAGGGGCGTGGCCTACAAGCTTGATTTTTGTGACATCATAAATAGTTTTGAGGCCAATGCTGGTCCAGATGCAATTTATACAAGTGGGATGTAGAAAGTTAAAGCCACCAGTGCACATCCACTAAGACTTTACAGTGAAGCAGGAGACCTCGTGTGTCCAGCAGGAAAACTTCAGAAATTAGCTAAACTTACATATTCAAAGATTCTGGGGTTTTTAAATGAGGTAGAAGGATGCTTTGACATACTTTACTGTTCCAAGCAGACTGTTTGTATGTATTTCTTAATATGTGTCTGGACAGGATCTTAACTATCAAGCTGATACTGTGTAAAATGTTTAACTGTGGCACAAAGGTGATGAAGAATAAGGACCTGCAGCAGCGAAGAAAATCTACAGATTTAAATGCAGAAATGTTTGAGCACTTTGAAAATGTTGGTCTACACTTTTAGTTGGAGAGCTGCAAAAGGCCTGCTGTGTCCATCAATGTTCAAAAGTTTTTGTTTGAAATTTATTCTATTATGAACAGACTCTTTAACAGTTGGTGAAGCTTTTTTTCTGATTTGATTTTGTGAAAAGCTGCTCCAGATTTTACAAATGATTTAACTTGGCAGTCTTGACCTGCCAGGAATCATTCCACAGTCCAACATGCCAAATGGAGGCGAAAGTCAGAGTCACCTCCTTTTATTACCTCCTAATGAGAGCGTGGTGGACACCTGGTTCAGTGAGGGTGTTAAAATGGTTTGGGACACAGGTGCTGACTATCATGAATCGCCTGTGCTGACTACTCAAAATTATAGAAATCCAAGTTCTACTGGATTTTATAAGAATACTGTACGTATCAGGTGATTTAACTTCTTAAAACCTGCCAAAATCCACCAGTAGACCATGACTTTGACACATTGACACCAACTATTTTGCATAAACATTAAGCTTGTTTTGACCCACATAACTCTCCTAGTTCAGTCACCAAAGATCCTGAATATGCCAGAATAAATGTTAAGGGAAATGTGTGCATTTTGTTTTGGGGCTTAGGTCTTGAATATGTCACTCAGAGGGAATAACAACAGATGCAGAATATATGATGTCATGCATTTTTTGCAGTAGTTTAAATGGGTTCAAGGTGTAAAAAGAAACCAAGAATAAAAAAAGAATGTGCAGCCAAATTGAAAGCAGTTAGTGTTAATTTGATACTCCAATAAATGACTCATCCCTTAAGAACAGAAGTCCATCAGGATTGGATTTCTTGCAAACATTTGAAACAAGTAAAAAAAATAAAGTAATAAATCAGTAGAACATGTTAATAGCCTTCACACCGACCTTAGCCTCACTGCCAGGTTTGTCAACACTAGTAGATACTGTCACATATACTTAATCGCATTAGTATATAGTTTGGAGTAGTGTTTTCTAACTGTCCAAGTGGATAGTTCAACTTTCAAGTTCAAACAAGACCTAATAAATCTTAACTGAAGGTTCATGTTGATACAGAGTTTCACAAAAATACCAAATACCAAAAGACTAAAAGTAAGACCTGTTATAAATATTTAGCCCTATCTTCAGGCATACAGAGCTTTCCAATATGGATGACAAGCGCATTATGAACGTATTTACTTCATCTACAGCGCAGGGTTGGCACTTTCCTGTTCATCTTCTCCATTTAAAATGACTTCCCTCCTAAAAACTGCGGTTCCTTGGCTCTGTGCATCGAGGTCTCCTGATCAGGTGTGCCTCTGAGAAATGTTTGTAGAGCTGAAATTCCAATTTAAAGAATACGCTTCACTCTGTAATGGACCTTTTTCACAGCAGCCATTTGAAATACTGATACTAATTAAGACAGACTCAGGGTGCTGCTATTGTGCATGCTGGCTCACTGGAAAGGCTCTGCTACACTAAATGGAGCGGAACCTGAATTAGTATCATTGCTAACACCTTTGTATACCCTACTATTTCATGTCAAAATGGCTGCCGGGAAAAAGGTCTGTAATGCACCTATCCAGTCCAATTAACTTATTATGTGACACCCTCAGGTATAAATAGTTTAAAGTTTCCCTCTCCACTTCTGAGCTTACAGCGTCCTCTTCCACACTTCCTGTCTGTATCGAGCGGCCATCACTCCACCGGGAGGTGTCACGGTGGGATCCGAGCAGATTTTATCTATTATGGGAGGGTATGATTCATGGAGGCAGAGGCAGCTCAAGGAAAACCAATCCTGTGACACTTTCTCCCCTGCGCTGTACACAGGGCAGCAGCAGCTACAGAAGGACAAGGCAGCAGCAGCCGGTCGCCCCTGACAACCATGATAAAATGGCCTTCCTTAACTAAACTCGTAAAGCACAGGGCAATAAAACTCAATCTTCTGTAAAATCCAATTAAGTCATTATCTGACTGATTGTATCTTTAATTGAAAACAGAAGTGACAGTAAATTTCTGTGATATATCAGGATCAATCGATACTGCTGTACAATCTGGTCTCAAGAGGTGATTTATAATGTCAAAGTCTTATAGGTAACTCCACATTCTTCTCTCTAAAACCACTGGTGGATGAAATTAAGAGTAAGTGCATTTCATAAAAAAACAAGATGGTCACGTTATTGATTACAACAGATGGGGCAGAATCCAATGAATGTTCCCACAGCGCAGCAGAAAGAAAATACAAGTAATTTTCTTTGTCTGTTTTATATTGTTGTTTCCAGGACACCATCACATTTACACTCCATCACTTAGAGCGTTTTTATTTCCCTAAAACTTGTAGCGACATAAACTCCAAGACTTCAAATTACTTTTGTTGCTGTGTTATTCAAACACAAACACAAATAAACACTTTCAAAGCATGCAGTTGGAAATGAATCCCCATAAAACACAAAACACATAAACAATATACAGTACAGTAGTGTATGAGTCAGCTTCACAAAGGCAGAAAAGTTGGCAAAATCTCATCTGAGTTGTTTTTTTTAATTAACACAACAACACAACTCAAAAGTGGTTAACACAGGATTACTTTCATTAGTTCATGAAATAGAAAAAGAGTTTGTTTGGGGCACTTGCACAACAAAAACAATGAACGGGTATTTTATCTGTTAAAAAACACAATTGGGCTGCAGCTAACAATTGGTTTTTATTATCGATTAATCTCGTGATTAATGGATTAGTTATCGGGTCTGCAAAAAACATCAATAACAATGGCAAAATCGTAATTTCTCAGATCCCAAGGCAACATCCCGACAGTCCAAAACCCAAAGATATTCAAGAAAAAGCAACAACTCCTAACATTTGAGAAGCTGAAAACACAACATTTTTAGCATTTCTGCTTGAAAAAATGCCTTAAATTATTAACTAATAATCCAAATAGCTGCTGATCAATTAATCATCTCATTGTTTCTACACATTACTGCAACAATTTCAGAACCCCTGCCTCTGCTGTATCTATAAGGCTGTACCAACGTGTGTAAACAGTTCTAAACAGTAACCTGTGTGCACAGCAAACCGCCTGGCCTGAAGGGGTTAAATATACATTAGACATGCAAATTCTCTGCTATAAACGATGCCGCTGGATCGGTGCCATAAATAAGCAGTTGGTGCTCATCACACGCCAACACGGAGGGAAACATGATTCATGTCTAACCTGCCTGTTTGCCTTTTTCTCCCTGCTAACCCTCCAGTCTTGACGGTGTCACACATGTTCTCTACTCTAAACTTTAATTCAGTGACTCATTCATTTATACCAGGAATAAAGAAATGCATAAACTTTTTACCATCTTTAAAATCGTTTGACTTTGCCAAAATTATCAGATTTTTCTTAGGGGTAAATACTGTATTCCAGCGGTGCAGGTCAAAAGATGTCTAGGCATAAATCTGGGTAAAATTTGGTTTAAAATTTTATGAGCAACACCGACATATCATCCCGGCTGATCTATCAACCAATATTAGCCTTTTGCTAGATATGTTCATATTGGTGTATATGTCAGCCGATGACTAACAAGAAACTGCTGTACAGAAATGCCAACAAGATGTTTGAGGTCATTTAGAAAAAGAGCCACCATGACATTTATGTAGTGTCTAATAAAATATAAATAAAATAAAACATCAGGCTCAGTAAATTTCTTGGTCACAATTCTTTAAAAACTACTTTAAGTAATCTTAGTGAAAATAATAATATCCAATGTATCATTATCTGAGTTTTAAACTGAAATACTGATATATCGGCCTAAAAATCTGGTATTGGATGGGCGTCAGTTTTTATAAAATCTAGGTTACTCCTAACCGTTGTTTAAACAGCATCTTAATAACAATATTTCAAAGAGAAGCACGTCCTAATGATATGTAACTGAACGACCCCGCTGAAGATAAATTACTAACTTGCTAACTTCTCACGTTGCTGAAGTATAGTAGAGGTAAATAAAATACTGATTTTCAGACTGTGTTAAGATACTCTAACATCAAAAGAAAAGACAAAAAAAAAACATACCTTTGAACTAAATGTGTCCAATTCAACCTTTTTATCTAGACATCTTTTGACTTGCAAATCCCTAAACCAATGTTTGCTAGGTTAGGTTGGAATCCTCTAGGGTTGGGTTGTCTATTAATTCACTGGTCCAAAAACAGATTTTACAAGTTGACAAACTAATAATATAAACTAATACAAATACTACACTAAGTATTCCATGTCAACCTACTGATTAGGGAGAAAACACTAGAAACCAGTGCATGTACATGAGTGTATTTGAGAAAAGCTTTTCTAAAAACATTTTCTAAATAAGTGCTTGTGATGCACAGTGACAATGATTCCAATTTCTTTGTTCAATATATCTTATATCTAATATATAAGACTGTATTGTGATTGTCAAAAGATGATGCAGTAATATCCAACTAATTGCCGCTCATTCACTGTTAACAGAAACACTTTATGACTGATACTGTGCGAAAACTGCACTAGTCAAATTTACTGTAAGCTGGAAAGGATTTCAGTATCATTATTCTGTATGTTGCGTCACTTGAACCTTTGGATAATAAAAACAATTTACTTTAACGGTTGCACTCCGGGGATGAAAAACAAGTGTACAAGTCACAGTCTAGCTTGAGTTGATTCCTGATAATCGAGAGACTTAACTGTTGTATGTTTAGTCATCTTTAACATTGTCTTTACAAAGAATCTATCCAAATGGCCGAATTCTGAGAAGTGCTTCTCAAATATCTGTTGGTATTTGTGAACTTGTACATTTTCTTTTAACTTTCCAAGCACTTTCTATGCTGGTGAACTGCCTTCAACAGAAGATTCAACACCTTTGAGGCTAGAAATGAACTAAAAATACAAAAACAACCTATATTCTCAACTACAGTATGGACTATACGTTATTGTGTCACCTGGACAGAAACAGAGAAACTTACAGCAACAGTGAACGGTGAAACTGTTTTGCAAGAACATCAAGTTTTTTGCTCAACTGATCTCATAATGCCTTTGTCATAAAAATGTATCCTTAGCTTCTTTTATTTGGTGGCATCACCATCCATGATGGAGTTGACGGTGAAGTTTGGCGTCTCGCTGCTGGCCTCACATTCCACATGGACATCAGAGTTAACCAGGGAGCTGATGGACCTGCAGGTCATGGTGGAGTCGTGACCAGTGGGGATGCTGCCAGGAGAGAAGGCTGCAGAAACGAGACAGACAGACAGTCCTGATCAGAGGAGGACATTTCTTCTAGTCTAGCACCTTCATCAAGTCAAACTTACAGCTTGCCCAATACTTTGGTTTTCTTTCCAAATTCCTGCAAAACTGACAGTCACAGTCTAGGACATGTTTGCAATCCACCACTATCACTACTATTAAACTTTAATCATACGTTTATGTGCAATCTTAAAATCAAGCCAGTTTTCCCCTTAATCTGAAATATTCCCAAATGTGTGATATGTCAGGATCATCTGGTTGTGCTTGCCTTTAGAGTTTGAGTTATTTCTTTTAGTTGATCAGTGATGTGTTTTTGTTTGCACTTGAGTTCGTCTACTTCTTCCACCTAGTTAGAAAAGTTGCTGGCAGGTTAAATGCTTTAACTGGTATTGAATTTTTGATACCGGCAGGACATGCTGTATCACGCACCAACATGGGTGCTGCTGAATCCCATCAGATACAGGAAACAAACAGAGGTAAAAGGATTTGCATGGATTCATTAAACAAATATATAATTCATTGCTCTACCAAATAGGAATTAAAGGGTTACAAAGAAAATCTGAACCATGAGCTGATGTGGTGTTATTGGATATTGAATCAGTCAAAATGGTGCATATACTCTATTTAAGTTTTTTTTTTTTGGAATACTAAAATATGTTACATCTAGTTCCTCATGTGAGCTCTAACTAACGTCTCAAAAACTCGACCATTGCAAAAAGTGTATGGGTAAAATACCTAAAGTTAACTTAAGTTCCTAAAAAATGTTAAGTCAAGTATAACCAGATGATCCTCCTGATATCATCACAGATATGTGAATAAAAAGTGTTTTTACTGTGCTTGTACATTTGAAATTGAAAGAAAACTGGCTAAATTTTAACATTGCACATGAACGAATGATTAAAGTTGGCTTCAAATGTAAATGTTAATATCATAATCATGATACCGTATTAAAAAACCCTGCAGAATTATGGTTTTAAAAAAACATTAAATTGTTCTTCCACTACTGTAAAGTATGTGTCTGCATTTAAAGAATAAACAAACCTCAAATCTTTAACCTCTCTTTCAGGTATTAAGCTACAAATCTCTTTTCTTGGATACTCCTCAAAGTCATTAATATGATAAATTCATATTGCATGGTGTAGGTAGACAGAACAGAAGCACACATAAAATAAAAAATGTCTACGTACTGTAAGGAGAGTAAATAAAAAGGAGAACAGAAATACTATAGTGAGACAGACAAAACAGCAGTCGTATCATCAGCACTGCAGAATAAATGGTCCTCTCTGTTAGTGCTGTGGTGCCTTATATAAATATGACTGTACAGTAAAATGATTCTTTGCAAATCTCAGGATTTATAGCTAATTGAATCAGTCAGCAAAAACGGAAGACACTGAACACAAAACAAGAGCATTAGATCTTTTACAGTTAACATCAGAGCTATGTGCATCCACCCATTGTAACACGTCTCTACAGCTAATGCACACACTAATAACACTGTGAGGCCAGTGGACATTAGGCTGGTTAACGGCAATCTGCTGTGTTTGTACATTCAAATGTTACTAAGGGTTAATAACCACTGTGGACCATTTTTCACCTCTATCAAGCCACATTATGAGTCATTCTCAGACATAAAAAGGACTTTTCATACCAATAGACAACATATGTTGTGGTGTTGTGCTCAGACAATTGGTCAATTGATTGATTAGATGACTGATTTTTTTTCTGTGACATCTAGTGGTGAAGTTGCAGATTGCAACCAACTGAAAACCCTCTAAGCATGTAGGTAAAACTACGGTGGCCGTCAAACTCACGAAAAACAAGAAAGGCTCTATCAAGAGCCACTTTTCTTGTTTGTCCATTCTGGGCTACTGTAGAAACATGGTGGTTCAACATGGCGGACTCTGTAGAAGAGGACCCCCTCTCTCTACAGATGAAAACGGCTCATAACAACAACACAATTCATATTTTCAGGTGATGAATATTGCAGCCATAATGAAAACATTATTCTTTTGTACCAATAGACCCTCCTCAATGTTACACACTGGATATTTCAGTAATTTATTAAGTGAAACTGACACACAATTCCAGCTTCCCAAATAAGAGGATTGGTCAGACAAAAACACCCAAATTGAGATAAGGGTTGCAAAGGTTTGGTAAATTTCCAGAATTTAAGGGAAGTTCAGTTTGGGATTTTGTCTGGCTTTGATGAAGGCAAGTATCTTGGCAGACAGCAAAGTGGGATGTATGTGGAATATGTGCCAGCATATCTCATCAGCCACCTGGTGGAAGGGACTTCCTCCAGATCCCATCAACAACCGCCTTCAAGCGTACCAGGAGCCTGCTTGGGAAAACTCACCCAATGCACAAGCTGAAAAACTGCTCGCCATCCGTGCCATCCTCAACAAGCTTGGATTGTGAAGATGAGGCATCAGAGTCTGATATTGTCCATAGAGAGAATAGGAGCCAGGAGAGGGGGAAAAAAGTATTTTTTTGGAAGAGGGCCATAGGACGTTTTTGTTGTTGTTCAATAAAAGTTCAATACAACGTTAAATGAGTCAACTTATTTAATTATGTTTTCTTATGATATGGTTAAAGGTTTGTTTCTATCTGCATATTATATAGTTAATACAACAAATAACACTTTCAATATTCCCAGAATTTTGCAATAAGACATTTTTAGATAAGATAGGGAAACTGTGCAGCAGCTGCAGTACAACGTAGGAAATCAGGCTGCACAATTGATCAAAATATCCAATTATTTTTTTTAGTATTTTTGCTTGAAAAATTAACAACATCTTAATTATTTCACTACTTTGTAATTTTTGTTAATCCTAGCAAGGAATTGGTAATATTTGACATGTTTCTATACTAATATGATACATGAGTTTCTGTATCAATTCCAAAACAATATTTTTTTGATTCATTACATTGAGAAATATGTGCATGCTTTTATGAAAAATCTTATACCCATTCAACAAAAGAAGCCAGTGTTCTCAAATGTAAAATGAGGTATACAACCAGCCATACAAGAACTTTGCCAAGTTGAAATCCAGTGTAAAACTTTGTAGAACAAATTGTAGTCAGTACCAGTAGGTAATCATTATATAAGCAAAACATCAAAATTGCTGGTTTTCACTAAACTAAACTAAATGTAAACAAACAAGCTATATTTTTTTTTAACATATTTGCCAATCACAGTTGTAATACAAAAGTTTAAATGTGCTCCAGTTGAGGATAAATCCAATTCCTTCAAAGCCTTATTCTGCTTAAGATGGACATATGTTTACTCAGAATAATCTCCTGATCAGATAACATGATGTCTAGTGTTTCCCAGAATCCTCTGATTTCTTTATTGGCCTCCCTCATGTTTCCTCATCCCTCACCCTCCACCATCCCTCTCTCTCCTCCTCAACAGTGGTAGGAGGGGCAAAGAGGAGTAATTTTTCTCCTCATTAACTTCCTGATTGGTTTCGGACTCCAATTTTTGCCCGTCTGCAGTTTGTCACCAATTCCAAACTGGCAGCCCAATCGTTAATACTAATGTTTGTGTAGCTAAGTGCACCCTGCTTTTTTTTTTATCCCTCAGCGGTCTACTTGTACAGCAATAACAGCATGTGGGTGGGGGAGAGCAGCTGTGAATTAGCCCGTTCACTGTTAATTCTCTGCCTGTTCATCAGCAGGAAATCTATGATGTAATTAAAGGCTGAAAGCAACTGGACGTGTTAGTTTCACTAGAGATGTTAAATCACGACACACTGCTCTACACATGTTCCCTGCTGCATCTGACTGTCTTCTGCTCTCCTGTTTAATACAGATTAATGTTGCTGAAACACCAGAAAGCCTTGTTCTCAATTAGCTGTCGAGCACCTGTTAATGACAACAGGGCTGCAAAACAATTAACAAACAATTTTCACTGACAATTACATTTTCTATACAGATTTATTGATTAATTGTTGGTTTATAAAAATGTCAGAAAAAATAGTTTTCAGACATTTTAAGTGACTTCTTGTAAGTGCTTGTTTGGTCCAACCAACAGTCCAAAAATATTCAATTTAGAATTAAATAAAATGAAAAAAGCAGCACATTCTTACATCTGATATGTTGGAACCACATAATGTTTAATTGAGTACTTATTTTTTGTAAATTACTTTTCTGTTGCTTGACTAATTAATTAATTAATCGACTAGTCTAATCGTTTCAGCCCTGAACGTCATGAGCTGACTCCATTGTTGGAACACAACCATCTACAACTTCCCCAGTACTGAAACAATCACAAGGATAACTTGTGACTCCAACCACATATTCATGCTGCAGTTTTATGCTAGTGGTTGTGGTCAGACAGTTTTTCAAGAACTTTTTAATATTTATTAAAAAACACGTTTATATACCTTAAAGTGAGGTATCAACAAATCTTTTTGGTATCAAAACCAAAATGTAAAATACTACCAATGAGATATGTTGACTGGTCTTTTTGACTTAAACTTTTGATCCGTTTTGGGACTGGCCGAGGCAAGCTGTGGATATAGTACACATATGCTGTTTATTGTGTAGTGCCTGATGAAGGTCTATAACTGCCATGTGGCTGCTTCTCTAACAAACATTGTGATGACTGTGTATGTGAGTCCGCCAACTTTACAACAGGAACAAACCCCAGAGCAAAAAAGTCACTAACAGCACGAAGTTGCTGAGTTTTTGACACCAACATCACCAAATGTTTGCAAAAACATAGCTTTTGATAATGTGAAAGCTGTATTTTTAGACACCTGCCAAAACCAGTCCCAAATATTCTAAACCATTCAGGCTGAATATGAAAGCATTGAGTTTTCAGCTGTGATAGCACAATTCTGCTGATACTGTATGTTACAGTTGTTACATATCTCCCTGTGAAGTCCACACCATGAGAAGAGAAGCTCTTATGTAAGATGTTGTATATCTAGGTTCATGCTGTATACAAAAAGTTGTATGTAACAAGACATAGACTTT